TATGCTTTTCTAGCAAGTCAACAGAAGCGAAAAGGTCAAGGGAGCATGGGGAGGCTGGAGCGCAGGGGAGGCGACTGTTCCCCTGTGCTGCTGTGGCACACCTGTCCCCAGGGTGTACGAGAGCAGCTGTTCTGCAGGAGGAGACCCTCTGTTAGTACAGCCCTGGCAAGTACAGCGCACACTCCAGAGAGGTGTGGGTACAGTCATGCCGGCTGTTTGTTACTGGTTATACCGTGCCTATCCACCCACCACTGAATGGTTTCTCAATTGTATTTATAACCCTGAGTTAAAGGAGCTTCTACTGTGCGACTGTGACGTTTGAAAGCTGCTTACATGTTCTTGGGACATAACGGGGAGCTCTGGGGTTTTGAGCACCAGGTTAACAAAGACGACTTTCCTGTTACTTTCTTTTCATATGGCAGCACTGGGGCTCAGCCTACAGATGAATCAAGGCTGCCAGTTCACTCATCCAGAAATACTTTTCTCAGCGAGTAGCAGCTATCTCAAAAATTTCAGTGTCATCTTTGTATTTCTTTGCATTTTAATATCCATAACTCAGCAATCTAATTTGATGGTTTTACATTCTTTCTCTTTATAGTATCACCTTGCAGATAGTAAGACAGTCATCTTTCTTCTTGGAAGTTTTTTTCACTGTTAAAAAGAATCCAAAGTTTAAATAAACATTTGGACTTTTGGCGGATTTGTTTGTTGTTGTGTTTTTTTTTCTTACTCTTCCTCCCCTTTTTTAATTACGAAGTTCCAGGAAAGAAATTATTAAACCTGGACTCCATGTTAAATGAGGGCTGGGAGGGGGAGAAAGCAAAGGCTGCTGTGGCTGAGCTTAAGGACAGAGAACAGATTCCTTAACAAGTCAAGGATCTAAATCTAAGCTAATCCATTCCCAAGAGCCACTCATAATTATTGTGGTTGGTTTATTTATAACCATAGCAGTTGCAGTGGGAACAAAACATTAGGCCAAATTCTGACCTCAGAATGTAAATCTAGATTGATTTCACTCTGATTTTCTAAATTTTGATAGCATTACTTTGAATTCATTCTACAGTAACCAAGATCAGAATCTGTTCTGTTGTATTGGATTTTTTTTTGCCTTTGAGACTGCATTTCTATCATCCTTTTGTCTAATTTTGGACTCAAAGAGCTGCAGAATGTAAGCTTAAACTAGCACTGCAGCCACTTCCGTATGTTCTACCTGTATCTTGAGGATGACTCTGAGCCTCCTCTGTACTCCAGGGACAGACAGGCTGGCAGTCTCCCCAAGGCTGAGGAATCTAGCCCACTGCACAGCTACCAATTGCTTTCAGTGGTACAAGGAGTCACTTTTTAACTGTTTATGACACCGTGTCAGTTTGTAAACTGGTTTTGCAGGAAGGACAGAGGAGGCAAAGAACCATTATGGATTCTGCTGTACCTGGGTGATAAATCTGTGATAGCAGCAATGTTTCACTGTTTATTTAAAGTAAATGAAATGGAGGTAGGTTTGCAAAATTAGAGAAGTTCCACAATAGCAAATGAAACTACACAGCCTGTCTGAAAATTTAATGCACATGAGAAGCATGGGAACATTGCAAGTTTATTATGCACCCCAGGCTGTTCTGCACCAGCTATTTTTTTTCCATGTGTTGTTTACGTGTCCTCAAAATGACTACCTAACACATCTAAAAGGCTGTCAGGTGAAAGTCCTCCCTTGCAGCAGAAACAGTGCGCTACGGCCTTTGCATTTACTGCCTGTAACTGTTGAGTGGGAACACGGGCTGCAGAGAAGTTAAAGGATTTGTCAGCTTGGTTTGTTCAGCTTGTTTTGGTCAGTTAATACAGAAGTATGAGTTTCTTCGTTACAGTGATGTTCTTTGGTAACAATCATATGTCAGCCCACGGAAGATGAGACTCTCTGTTTTGGGATATCCCTGTTCTGGATCAGAAAATATAGTGCTTTCAAGAATTCATCTCTCACTTCAGTGAACCAGCTTGCAGTGACAATTACCAGCTATTGCATTTCCCCTTTTTTAAGACTTAACATTTTCTTGGGTATATTTTTAAAATTCTGGTTTGTGTAGCTTTTACAAAAAATGTAAAGCAGTCTGCTGCTGTAATCATTCCTGAATTTAGCCATGCTTTGATGGCTGAAATGTGATCCCCTGGTTAATAAGCAACTAACTCAGGTTTCTGTTATGTTTTTTGATAGATTGTATTTATTTTGCCCTTGGAAATAACAACAGTCGTTTGTTATAAGCCAGGTGTTTGGCTAATTGCATGGAGTTTTGATTCAAATAGTGTCAAGACATCTGTATATACTATCATTTCCGTAGTTTAGCGATATCTCAGTTCATGGCTTGAGCATTTAGGCCTCCTCCTCTGTGATCCTCAATATTAGCTTCAGCACTGAGATGAATGGGACAACAAAAAGCAAACATTTCTTAAGGAGATAAAGTAGTTGTGCTTTGATAGATGTGGCTGTTTCTCTGGTCCCCAGTTTGCACATCAGGAGTAAGAAGGGCTGCATTGCATCTCTAAAGCTATTTGAAATTATAAAGGACTTGCCTCTGATGAGCTCGATGCAGGCCAAAAAAAACTGAGACACTTTCCCACATTATCTGCACTTCAGCGATGGCAAATGTAGAGGCAGGGATAAACTGAGCAGGACACTTCTGCATGCTGATGTGCTTCCCCACTGACATGCTAAGTCACACAGCAGTGTTCACATCCACAGTGGGTATACACTGACACCTCCTTTGTCAGGGAGTGCAAAATAAGGCACAAGTTTCTGTTGATGGGACTCAGACTGGTTATAGCCATAGTCAATAAGTTGTGTAACCTGTAATCGAAAATCTGGTTTTGATATGGAAATTCTTACTGTATGTCCTCACATCCTCCTCAGTGAAACTGGGCGATTTGTCCATTAATTCACCACTCAAGTGGTCAATTCAAGTGCTGAGCAATATTTAACAGGAGACCAAAATTTGAAAACTAGAAAGCTTGCAACAGTGTTAATTTATTATTTCCATCTTCTTTTTGCAAATAATAAACTTTTTTCTTGTTGTTCAAATCTGACTAAAATATGAACTAAAACTAAAAAAGCAGGAGGATGTGCCACAAAGCAAAGTAAAAGTAAAGTTTCAAGCATGACACAAGAGTCATCATGTCTGAGGCACAATCATAGAAGGAGATGAACCCTTCAGCTTTTTGGGGCAGCTCAGTGGTACACAATGTCATACAAGACCAATCTTTAATGAAGGGCAGTTTTGAAGGAATTATTGGTGCCACGTTTTGGATGCCTGGCTGTTTACTTGAAAATGTTGCTTTTGCTGCTGCTTTGGCATCTCCTGCTAAGGTATTTTGGAAGAGCTGCTCCTGTCTCTTTAAGAGTTTTTCTATTAAAAGAGCAATCAGATTGGTACACATAACTGTGAGGAAGGTGAAAGCAAAGAGGTCTGTCCGTCAGTCAGTTATTTCAAATTCATTATTAAATTTGATGCTGCGAAATGTCACTGTTGAATAAGATGAGCAGGAGAGCAGGAGAATATCTATCACTTCTAGGATGAACTCTGTGTGCATCAATTGGAGAACAGCCATCTCAGGATGTAAAGCCATTGATGTTAATGGGACAGTGAAAACAACATTTCTGAACGTTAAAATACTGGACATTCCTCCATTAAATTACTCAGGGAAAAAGAACCAGTATCTGTCAGTTTTGATCCATTAAAATTGCTGAAGTATTTGATTATCTTTGGTGCTAGCGGTCAGGTAAATGTATGCATTAAGTTATATTCTGTATTGGAAAGGAGGCCTAGGAAGTATGTCATAACCCAGCTTGCAGTTACAAACTCATGCTCTGCTCCAAAGCTGTTGTCTTGGGAGGATGACAGGATGGTCATGACAACCCTGCCTTCTCTATTCACAGGTGTTCCCTTTCCAAAGAACTTCCTTCAGATCTGCAAGAAGATACTCTGCCGGCTGTTTCGGGTGTTTGTTCACGTCTACATCCATCACTTTGATCGTATCATCCTTATGGGGGCTGAGGCCCACGTCAATACCTGTTACAAGCATTTTTATTACTTTGTGACAGAGCTCAACCTCATAGACCGCAAAGAACTAGAACCTTTGGTAAGTGTGAGGTCTGGGGGAAAGCTCTAGGAAATTCTCCTCCTCCCTTCACTGAGCCTTTCCCATGCTTGTTGCAGTGGGTTTCCTCTGGGAATAAGGTCTATGGCTGAACACAGGCAATTTAAAGGGATGAACTCTTGCCTTTGTCCATAGACCCATTCCATCTGCTGCAATGTTTGTGAGATGCTCAGTAAGCTCAGTAGAAAGAGAAAAGTGTATTTTGTATGGAAAAATACAAGGTGGGAAATGCTGTCATTTGCAAATAGATGTTCATTTGTCTTGTGCTTCTTCCTGTACTGTACATTTTACATATAATTTTGTTCTGTCTTTTTTCATTGCTTAGTAACAGCATGATACTTACAGCAGTCATGTGAATGCATGTGAAGGAAACAGTGGTCTATATAAAGGTGAATTGTTTGGTTTTTTTAATCTTTAAGTGGGTGTTCATGAAGGTATTGAGTGTGTTAGATCCAGAGTGTGCTCTGGATCTAAGTGAGACAGATGAGGTGAGGGACAGAGGTTCAGACAATTAGTGGCGTAACGAAACCAGACACTTCCTTTTGGACTGAAATAGATTTCAATTAAATTAATTGCTTCCAAAAGTAAGGCTGCAGAAATGGAAACACTTTTTCTCTTGCTTGCAAATGCAAATAAAATAAAAGTGTAAGCAGAGAAGGAAAAGTAAGGGGCAATTCAAAAAGCAGTTATGCACAAACTGTGGGCATTTAGCCAACTTTAAAAGGGATCAAGGCAACATTTCTCCATGGATCAGTGTTTGGAAAATCCTGTGCTGTACAGCTTATTGATGAAGTGCTAGAACCACTAGGGTTTTTTTATTTCCACAGAATCACAGAACGTCTGAGGTTGGCTGGGACCTATGGATATCATGTAGTCCAAATTGCTGCTCCAAGCACTGCTACCTAGAGAGGGCTGCCCAGGACCTCGTCAAGTTTTCAGTTGTTCCACATAAAGGCGTATTGCAAGGAGATGTATAGCGTAGTTGGTATGAAACACTTCTGAAAGCGTGACAAGGTGACGTTTGCGTGCACTTCTGCAGGAATTGGAGCTGCTGCAGATGTGATACATGTGTATGTTTATGTTGATTGAAGGAGAGCCTGTAAAGTGAGACAAGATGGATTGTCTTGTTTTCCTCAGTTCACAAGGCCCAATGAAAAACACTGCGTATGGCGTATATTGTTAACTTGAAATGTATCTGTGGTTTCTTTCTAGATAGGAGAACTTAATGTGCCATCTAAATGTGTCCTAAGGGATATAAGGAGGCCCTGCAAAAGAGAACTTCCCTGCTGGACTAGTGATCCTAGGTTAGCTGCAGCTGTTAAATGCTGAGGATGTCTCACAAGCAAGATACAAGACAGGATATCTCAGCGGTGAAGAAGCGAGGTGATATTAAGGCCGTTACAAGATCCTTGCTTACTTTGGAATACAGAGAACACAAAAATGATTTAATACTGCAGTTGATGGTTAGCAATATTCCTGCACTAAACAGACAAATGAAGGATCAGGATGAGAGTGGTGCAGGAGGTGGCCCAAGTCTAGCAGCAGAGAAAGCAAGGAACGTGCTCCAGCTGGTGTTTGCTTTCCCCTTGCATTCCAGCATTCCCTCTCTTCACAAAATTATCCTTAGGATCATCATATGATGAAGTATTATTAACTTTGATGAGATGCAGTGTCTCTCAGAAAATTGTTTCACCTGCACTGAGGAGGCACCATGTCAGCAAACTGACAAAACTCCATCTGCTTCCATCTTCCTGTCCTTGACTTGGGTGGGTGTGAGCAGTGTGGAAATGCAGAAAAAAAAGCATTTTTGTCTTCAACTGGGCAGAGAGAAGGGAAGGAATTGCCAAATAAAAGCAGACATTACAAATAATCTTGAATTTTAATGCGGTAGTTGAGGACAACCTATGGCCTGCCAGGTTCACCATGGCAGGAAATGAGCCCACATTATCTCCCTTAATTAGAAAATGGGCCAAGAGCTGATTAAATAAACAGACTGCCACATGCTTTAATGAACAGGAAAGCAACTGATTTATCAACAAAACTTCAAGAAGGGAGAATAACTGGGGAAGCAGGCAGTAGATGAATAGTAATATTAGCCTGCAGGACTTACGGTCTTTATTTAAAACAGATTTTATCAGCCTCTTGTAACTCAGGGCAGCAGTTATAAAATCAAACGCAGTGAATGAGTCAAATAGGGTTCCCCTTCCCATTCCAGATTTGTATAACTTTCCTTTTTGCAATTGAAGAGGGGGCTATAGTTTATAATGCTGTGCATCTTTTTCTCATCCCCATCACTATGGTAATTTGACAGATCTCTGAGTCTTTCATAGAGCTGTTTTATGTGAGGACAAAAAAGAGAGCTGGCACAGTCACTGATGCCGCAGGTGGTCCTGAGGCAAAAAAAACGCATGTCCAATTCATTAATTTGGGGGAATATGAAATCTCAAAGTATATCTGCCCTTTCCTGCAGCTAACAGGCAGACAAGACAGTCTGCACTATGAGAGCTCTCAGAAGACCTTTAAGGCATGTCTCCATGGGGAGGCTATCAAGAAAGAAACTAAGGTTTGAATTTTAAGATGTGTCACCTGCTTTGTGCTGGCTCCTTGTGTGACCAGTTTTATTTTCCACTGGCAGTAGTCCACCTTAATTCACTTCTGAGCTTCTTCCCATGGCCAAAACTGTTTAGAGAAGTTGTGCCTGTTAGCTCTATCCAGCCCTCTCCCTATGTAGGTGACGGCTTGTATAGGATGCTTTAAACACTTCACCTAAACCTGCTTTTTAGTGAGAATCTTAATGCAGCTGCCTCAGTGCAGTAATTTACTGTTTAAATGACAGCCCAGCTATGGTAACACCCCTTCCTTCCTGTGATCCCTTTTCTCTAACAGTAAATTTCATAGTATGTAGGACTTAAGAAATATGTGATACTTTACAAGCACATCATAAGCAAAACAGTCTTGGTTCTGGGAACGTTACTTAATTTATTGCCAGTTAACAAAAGTTTTGATTACGGATCTGGGTATTGAGGGAAAAAAAAAACCCACACACACTCTCACACACTCGGTGAAGAAACACCTTTCTTCCTCAGGTTCTAGTTCGTAAAAACCTTCTCTTCCTCCATTCCAGGTCTCAACTCACTTTGACATAAGAAACACTGTTTCAAAGAAAAAGAATTCCTCCTTCCATTCCTGAGCATGAGAGGGTGCGGTGTCTTTTTCAGCCGTAGCTGGTGACCACCTTCAGATGCCTGGTTTGGCTTGGTGGTTGCAGAACCTGTTCACTGCTGCACTCCAGGCTCAGCTGGAGCAGGCACAGATCCTGTCGTGAGACCTGAGGATCAGTGCTGCTACAGCAACATGACCTCTAGAAAGGGCAGGGGGGAGAAAAAACTAAAACCTTCTGAAAAGCAATAAAGTCAATGCCAGAGAGGCATTAAACCACAAAGTGTTTTGTTGGGTTTTTTTTCCCCCCAGCAGGGAGGTGCTTGTCAAACAGAGAGGCAGAGGCAAAGAATCTGGCAGCTATACTTCTCCTTCAGTCATGTAAGAGCCTTCTGATTTAGAGGACTTAGAGATTTGTGACTGAATCTCAGTGCAAGCACTTTGTTGGATAACAGTTAGTTGGTGATCCACACAAGTCTGCTCCTGACTTTTCAGCGTTGATCTGTGTGTATTGCAGTACCTTATTTTGATTTCTAAATCTATGCATTTTAATTTGCTTGATATTTCACTGTGCCTTGTGTTTGTCAGAGTTAAGTTAAAAAACAAAAACAGAAACAAAAACAAAGAAAAAAAGCCACCTAAAGCTGTGGTGAAGTTTCGGTGTTAAACTTGGAGACCTGAGCATGGTGTAATTCACTTGAAGGAACAAGGTTCCCAAGATGCATTTATTTTTAAACTTGTGGGATGTGTGGACCTTGCTCTTTTTCTCACTACTGAGCATGGCTCATTAACATAACCTTAAATTATATCTCTAAAGAGGAGAGATAGGAAGGGTCTTTTTGCTGTGCAAGGTCATGGAGGGCCTGAGAATGTGTGCAAGGTTTGTAAATTCAGTATGTTAGAACTCATGTTCTAATAAAAAATCTTAAGTGGCAAACCCAAGAATATTTCGTCTCTCCATGGCCATCTAGTTACGGTATTGTGGGCAGGTTAAATATTCTTGTTGTGCCAGTGAGTAGTGGGAAGTGACGCACAAGGAAGACCCTACCAAATAGGAAGGAATGTACGTGGTTTGAGTACATTTGCTTCTCTCACAGCTATTAGGTATTGTCAAATGCACAAATCTGTTTGCCAAAAATACCAGTATGTGTGATTTTTATATGTTTTTCTGTTTAACCGAGGTAGTGTCCTCTTACAGAGAAAAGAGTACCTTTTGTGCTCTTTCAGAAATATCAAAAAATATATTGCAAATCAGTCAGATTCCCAGAAGATTCCTACATAACTTTGGAAACTATTGATAGCAGTGAAATTTCCCTCTGAGGACAGGGGTAAAAGACAGCAGAATATAGCCATCTGCTTTGCTCTTTCTCTGAAAGTTTTTTTCATAAGTCACAGGACGCTGTGAAAACTTTGACCTTTTTCTCAGAAGTATTTTTTTATAAACGTTTTGTTCATGAGAACAGAAACTAATGATTACAGTTTATTGAAGAAAAATAGAGAAGGATATTATTTACCTGTGCTGTTCTGATAACTGTTAAAAGGCTGATTTCACTTAGATGCAGAGACAATCAGCCATGGTAGCAAGTGGGTAGCATTAGGGCTGGAAGTGGAAGTGGCGGCAGTCAGTGGAGCTGAGTGTATAAAATGGGGAAGCTGGTAGTTGCCTCCATGAAGATGGAGTTCATCTCCAGGATAAGTAAAGACAGTAAGGTTTTCTTGCCTTATTCTCCAAAATTCTCAGTGTAAAAGCTTCCATTGGCTTTACAGCACGATTGGCTTCTGATAATATTTTCATTCAATATTTGGAGCTGCTTAAAGGTAACCGTCTAAATGTTTTGGGTTTTTTCCCATCTCTATATAAAACTGTCTTTCTGAATGGAATGTCTAGTTCTTGTCCTGGCAGTCTACTAAGTAGAGACAAGTATTTAGTACATTAACCAAATCATTAAACTCTGTTTGGTTGTTTGGGATTTTTTTTTT